GTTTTACGTCCAATGGATGATGATCTGATTAGTCGACTAATCGCAAAAATAATCGTGACTAGTCGACTATCAAAATAATCATTTGTGGCAGCCCTACTACCCAGCATAGCTTTCAAGATGGTGCTAAATGCTTATTTGAAGTGTTGTTGTTGTTTTTTATTTGTTTTGTTTTATATGGGAACCTGTAATCTGATATTTTTCTGTTAAAATAGGATTCGAAAGTATTAAATTTGATTAAAATTTCTGAAACCCAATCCTTATCAAATTAATTTAGAAGGGTAATGGTACCTGTGATGCATTTTCTCTGAATGGCAACGAGTGTCTGCAGACTGGAGAGAACATTCGATGGAAAGAATCTGGAGCTCAAATACAGACAGAAATAGCCGAGCTCATTATTTAGCAAGTGAAACGATTATAAAGAAAATATTTAATTCTGCGTTTTATGATGCCCCAAATTATGTGGAAAGTTTATCTCTGACTAATCTAGATATAAAGATGGACTTTGGAGTGAGTTTTGTGTAACTCAGTCTTTCTATGGATACAAACAGTCACTGGACTCTTTATCTCAGTACCTTACTTTCTCTCTAAACACTTAGATTGCCTGCACTATGTCTGTGTTTTCTTTTCCAACGTATTTATTTATTGGTCTATAAGAATTATAACAGTGATGTTTTGTATCCACAGTGAACTGGCAGTGCTGCTTTCTCTGGCTCAGAGCAACCCAACACTGTTCCAGATGATCTCAGACAGAGCAACAATCGCGAGGCAGTTAGAGCGACTCAGCAAACTAAAGGATCTGATGGAGACCACCCAGGAGGAGCTGAAAACCAAACAGGCAGAGGATTGGACATCCTGGATCACTCAGTATAGGTGAGACGGGGGCAAAAAAATGAGTGAGTACGTTTTATTAGCAAGGGACGAGAAAGAAAAGCATGGAAAATGAGAGCAGAGGAGGAACTGCATAGACCGGATTAGCTTTTTTAAATGTGCAAACAGACAGAAAAAAGAGGAAATGTGTGTCGAGGTGATTATTGTTCCTTTGCTGCACTTCTCTGAGGGAATGTTTTGTGTTATCACTGCCACAGGAAACGTCTGGCTCGTGAGCTGGAAGGCCAGAGTGATGTGCAGGCTGTGCAGGAGGAGAGAGTGAGGGTGATGGACAGCACCAACCCTCGCGTGATACTCAGAAACTACATTGCCCAGAATGCCATAGAGGCTGCTGAGAAGGGGGACTTCTCTGAGGTCAGGTTCTAGTCGAAAAAAGTCATTTTGGTAGAGAAATGCGGACAACTTCCCCAGAAGCATTCACTGGAAATCAGACTGTGCTTCATTTACCCTTAATTCCCTTTTAAGTTTTTCATTTTCAGTGTGGTGACCCGGTCTCACTTCTGCTCTTTGCTGCAGGTCCAGCGTGTCCTCAAGGTTCTGGAGAAGCCTTTCTCTTCACAGCCAGGTCTGGAGCTCCCTGCGTGGGTTGGTGGAGGTGGGACCAGTGCAGAAGGAGAAAGGGATGAAGGAGAGGAGCAACAGCAAGAAGCAGCTACCTCTAGAAATCCTGTGCCTTATGACAGCAAGCCCCCAGCTTGGGCCAATGAAATCTGTGTCACATGATCTTCGTAGTAACTTCCTTGACTG